GAAAGCGTTTATGCTTATTTATTTATTTAATTATATAATAAACGGATTAATCACATACACTCTAATAACTGTGTTATTTGCTTCAATAGCCAAGTATCATTATTTATTTAATAAATATCAAGCTTATATTTTTACACCATTACATCTGTGTCTGCTTCTTCAAATAGACAATTTTCCTTGAAATTTTTAAATAATTGGAGCTTATCTACACACATTAAAATTAATTAATAATAACTTAAGGCTCGTTGAAATTAAACCAAGAAATTTATAAGGCCTTATACGAGCCGTTCCCAGGATGTTGAAGCGGAAACCAAGAAACTTTAAGAATTAAGATTTCAATTCAAAAAGTACTCACTTATAAAAATTTACAAGTTGAACTTGTTACATGTGTATGCACATATATATATATATACACATGCAACAAGCACGTGTATATATATATACACATGCACTTGTTGCATGTGTGCATACACATGTAACAAGTTCAACTTGTAAATTTTTATAAGTGAGTATTTATATATAGGTATATGTATATACACGTATACAGTTTCCGCTCAACATCCTGGAAACGGCTCGCAAGGCCTTATAAATTTCTTGGTTAAATAATTTTTATTTCATCAATTTAAACGTGTCTTCAACTCTAATTCTGTTTTAACATGTTTTAACACTCTTAAGAAGTGAGTTTCGATTGGTCATTGTGATAACATTATTTTTTGCTTGGATCGTATAAATGGCGCATGTCGATCACTCGGTTTTTTTGTGTTACGTAACGAAGGAAAGTGACTACGTTTTCTTGGAATTGCCCGCGATTTACGTGCGTATGAAAAGAAATGCCAATATATATATGTGATAAATCACATCATTTCTTGTCAAATATATTTCATGTTATTAATTAATTATTGCCGGTGTGTTTGCTTCGCGTTGAACGTTTGTGCGCAGAAAATAAACGTCGAAATGATACCGATGAATGTTTATTATGCAATTATCAAAAATCAGTCTTTCAATTATCTCTGATTTGTTGCTTAGATAAGATTTTACACTCAAGTAAACTCGCGTGTACTCATCGTCGTGTGCATTACTCATCGTTGCCTGTTTACTCGACAAATTTATTTCTTCACAAAGCGCTTCTCGCTTTTTGTTGAACACTTTTTGTAAATTGGTTTTTTCGTCTCTTAAAAGAAAAGAGAATAATAATATTTTATTGACACGTTATGAAACATATATGAGGAAATGGTTTTTTTTTTTTTTTTTTGCTTAAAATAGTCGTCCAGCGAGTTCTAAATCGCGCGACTAATTATGTCTCGCAATGAGGTTGACGGAAACATTCAAATGCATAACACATATTGGCGATACACGTCGCACGTTATGACATTACAATGATTACACGTATACGTGACCATTTCTTATCATTTCTCCACGCTATTATCTATCCGCCAGATATCAATGATGAAGCGTGCAAACACACACGTCCGTCATGCACGTTCTTTTCCCCTTATCTGGCTCATGAATTCAATGACGATGACAATGATGCCGTGTGCAAACTCACGCGATCGGAAAATAAATCGATGAAAATAAAATAATCCATTGTGACCTTTCGTTCAGTAGACGAATATAAGGAAAGAAAAATGTAAAATCACACAACGAATTCGTCTTCCGTGTTCTCGCAACAAAAGAAAAAAATTACGAAGCGCGTCGTTTTACTTTGATAAAGCGTCGTCGTGTCGCAAAGATAAAAATAAAGCCAACAATTTTACTCTGTAATTTTCAAAAAAAAAAAAAAAAAAAACACGTAATTACCCGAGTCGAAATTTAGCGTCTACATTGAACCTCAATTTTTGAAAAAAGAAAATTTCGGACGTATAGCAGCGTCAAAGTAGCATCTACTTTTTTTCTTACTCCTACTTTGAGCTTATCAAAGCCTATTTTGAGCCTATCAGAGCCTGCAATGCGCAGTCTGATCTGAGAATTGAACCCTACTTTAAAACTTTAGCAGGAAAAAAGGAAATTTCGGATGTATAGCAGCGTCAAAGTAGGATCTACTTTCTCTCTTACTTCTACATAAAAAATTTCTTTGCGAAATAAAAGACCTTGAATGTCTGAATTTGTTGAAAAAATTATCGAAAGCGAGGAAGGAAGGTCAACTCTCACTAATTTCACGTGAACACGTGTGTGTCTCCTTCGCGCGGAGACTACAAGTTGACGAACTGCAGTTCGTGACCGAACTGTTAGATTTCGTGACGGCCTCTCTTAGTCGCGCGAAATCAAGGTTCGCGGCGGCAATCGTCTGCACAGTCTTTGAATTCTCGTCAATGTCGAGGATTGCCGCGAGGATTTCGATACGTATCTCGCGGTAGAGGTTACGCGAGAGCGATACGCCTTGATGAACTTCCTTTCGTACACGACACACCACGCCGCTTATCTTACCTCCTCCACATTTACGCCATCACAGTCAGTCGAGGAAACGATAATAAAACTGGCTTTACAGTTTTATTATGAAAATTTTACGTATTTATTCTTTTTAAATGAATTTAATTTAAAAGAAAAACTCGCGAAAATTCAATTCACAAAATTTGTTGCCAAAATTTTTCAAAATTCTCTATAGAAATTTATTTTTGACTCTGTTGAGATATTTTTTTTTGTTCTCTTTTGGCAGCGCCTAGTTGTATGGAGTGTTGCACCAAGTTTACTTTGAACTACTGATGGAATGACTTTACGGATGGATTATTATTGTCTTCTCTCGAATAATCACACAGGTAGCGCACAGATTAAATCGACCGCGATCGATTTACCGTTCCCCGTTGTCATCCGAGACACGCGTTAGTTTCGAATTAATATCACACCGTGATAATTCGAGAACAGTCTCTCGTCTCGTCGAGAGAGAGAGAGAGCACGGATTGCTCTCACGGGCGTCGAAACTAGTTGTTTCTCAAACAAGTAAGCGCATCGCTGATGCAACCGAAAATGGAAATCCATTAATATAGAACGGTAATCAATTTTCGAAATTATCTCTCTCTCTGCCAAGATAACTAAGTCCGAGGGGAAGAGTTAGAAAAAACGATAATTTAGAGAAAATAATGCCCATTTAATTGTCGCGGTGGACTTTAGATGTAAAAAGTCATAAAAAAAAAAAAACCATAGAAGCAAATGATTGAATAATTCTTGTCTATGAAAATCGAGAGCACCGCGGTTTTAGATAAATACTATCTTTGGGTGAAACTTTCTCGAAAAATAAAAAGCGCATTCCTTTCTGGCGACGCCTATGAGACCGTTTCGGGACCGCATTAATTGCAATTAATTGCGCGCGCTATATAAAAAGTATTCACTTTGCAAACACACCATTACTTAAGACTTGCGAAACGCGAGATATATGCAATAATATCAATTTATATTTTACAACTAGATGTATGTCACGCGAGAATAAATTAATTCATTCACAAAATTAAAGCAAAAAAAAAAAAAAAACAAGTTTTGTGCGAATGAGTCATACATGAAAATTAATTTCGATAATTAAACAGCTCCTGAACTTGCGACCGCATCTAAATACATACATTGACTTGCTAATTGGGTAAACTTATCCGGTTGCGGTTTTGTTGCATATACGTATGTGTAAACAGGCGTGTGCACAAAAATGAACTCCAACACCTATCGATAACCGCATCTCAAGTAACGATT